AAGCTAAAACTGGGAGAGAGGAGTGAAATGCTACATTGGGTGAAGGTCTTTTTTCCTCTTATGGAAAGGCTTTGTTCAGACTGCTGATTCTGGAACTTGGCCTGATGTCGTGCTAGTCAGACTGCTCTCTCTATTTTCTTGTTGGTCATTCCAGATCCTCAAAAGATCACGACTACCAGCACAAATAACATCAATGTTTTACAGTGTTTATATTACATAGATGCTGGAAATACAGGGAGACTGTATGAAGAGAAGGAGGATTTGGATTCATTTTTTTATTCCTCATTGAGTTATCAAAGATGATATTTATTGAGTAGTCCCTAGTAACATCTGATTTCTCATTTGAAATTATGATCTTATGCTTAAAATCAAAAGATGCAGAGGATTTATAATGTTGGTGGTTAAAAAAGGTTCTAGGGCCGGCCCACTGGTGCAGCAGTTAAGTTTGCACGTTCTGCTTTGGTGGCCCGGGGTTTGCTGGTTCAGATCCTGGGTGCAGACATGGCACCGCTTGTCAAGCCACGCTGTGGTAGGTGTCCCACATATAAAGTAGAGGAAGATGGGCATGGATGTTAGCTCAGGGCCAGTTTTCCTCAGCAAAAAAAAAAAAAAAAAAAAAACACACACACAAAAAACGAGGAGGCTTGGCGGCAGATGTTAGCTCAGGGCTAATCTTCCTCAAAAAAAAAAAAAGATAAAAGCTTCTAATGTAAAACAGATGAAAGTGAAATAAAAAAAACTGAAGGAGAGTTGGAGGTCTGCCTTCCTCCCTCCCTCATCAGCAGTCCTGAGGACATCTGCCCAAAGTTTCTCAAAATGTGAACCTCCACAAATCACCTGGGGCAATTGTTTAAAATGCAGATTCCTGGGCCCTGTCTCTCTGGGTTAGACTCTGGGAATTTGCATTTTTGACAAGACCCTGCAGTGATTCATTTGTACTCTAAAGCTTCCAGCCACAAGAGACCCCATTGGAATGGAGTGGGGTTAAGACATCAGTATTTTTGAATAGCACTCCAGATAATTTTGATAATTAATCTAAAGTTTGGGAGCCATTGAACTAGGTGGTCTCTAAAGTGATAGTAGCTGAGTGAGTCATTCTCAAAGTGTGGTCCTCGACCAGCAGCATCAGTATCACCTGGAACTTTTAGAAACACAAATTCTTGGGCTGCCTGCCAGCCGTGAATCAGAATCTGGGGCACAGCCCAGCAAGCTGTGTTTTAACAAGCCCTGCAGGTGATTCTTATGCTGCTGAATTTTGAAAACCCCTGGCTTAAAATATCTTCAAAAATATCCTTCCCCACAATTCAATACACATGCATTGACACTCCCTGGACATTTTGTTCTCCCAGGAACTTTGGAGGGGCTGGAGAAGTCACAGTTCTCAATGATTTGCTCGTGGTACTTTATCTGTGCCCCTGATTTTGGTACTGGAGTGAGCAGGAGAATGTCAAGATTCAGCAGGTAGACAGAAGTCTTTCTCTGAATAGATAAATAGTTTTTGTTTTGTTCTTTTTACTTTCCATATTTTCCAAATATTAAGCAATTTGGCTCAGCAAAAAACACCACACATATTCCTGGAAGATAAAAAGAGTCAGCAAAGAGTGATTTGTAAATACAGACAGCTGGATGTGGTATTGACTATAAAATTAAGTGGAGCAGGCCGGGCACTTCCTATTTCTTGTTTTTCAGAGGTCATTGATTGGCAGTTGACATCATGAAGGATTTTGTGAGGTTACAATCGTCTTTACTCTTGTGTGTGATTTTGGCTTTTTTTGAGCAAAAGACAGGTATGTGTTTTATTGTTTGACGGTGTGGTTTCTTGGAGGTTGGTGGGCCTCTTGTTGTATGCTATTTTGAGTAGAAGTGTTGCTTTCTCTCTTTCGCCCTCTGCCTCCCCTGAAAGCAAGTGATTTATCTAATTTATGTGTAGCTCTCCACTCCCTTCACTCTACCTGTGGAAAATGGTTTCTCTACTTCAAGTTTCAGCTTGTTCTTCCATGTCCCACCCTGATCTACTCATAATCCAGCCACCTGCCTCCCCCTAGGTGATCGTGTGTTTGTTCTAAATCAGGCTGTGGAAACAGCTCATCATTTTTTCTATTCTCACTTCTTATTTTTCCTGAGTCATCAAGTTATCTTGTAATATCTATTGTTTTATTTGCAACCCACTTACTTTGTCCATGTGTCCTACCTATGGCTTATATTAAAGTAGTCTTTTCTAACCTAGACTATATATCTTTTTCCTTATTAAAAAAGTCACTAGCTAGAAGTATTACCTAGAAAATAAACATTTTGTTATTTCTAGTATTTCTTTATCATGAAATTGTAGTGATGGATAGCTTTGTCTCTAGGACATGTCTTTGCCTATCTATCTAAAAACTTCCTTAGGATCTACTCCTGGTAGTAGAATTAATGAGGCACCAGAACTGTGGATAATGATTTGAGTTGACAGACGTATCAGACGTGAATATATTTACTCTAAGACTATCTTCTTTTTGCCTTATAAAAGGATACAGGGCAGGGTACATACCAGGCACAGATCTTCATTTCATTGGCAGACTCAGCAGGTGCCCAAGTATGTGGTTCCCTTTGTCCCTTCACTCACAAAAGATGTGTTTGTCTGCTATGGATGAGGGCCAGAAGCTACAGAGAAGCTGCAGCTTCAGTGTCCCACCGATCATTTACACTGGTCTAGTCATGCAGACTCAAGGCCAGCACACAGCTTGAGGCTCCTGCAGTCCAGGGGAAGTCCCACACGATAAGAGAAGGAGAGACAACATCCCACATTTAGCTTAACTCTGTAGTTTTTCAGGAAATGGTACTGGGAGGAGGAGATGGAGGCTGTCCCCAGGGCCTGCATGAGCCTGGCCTGGTGTTAATTTTTCACTCACAACCGTGACAACGTCATCTGAATGATCACATTGCATCTCTCAAGGGTGTTCCGGGGGTATTTTTTTTTTTTTATAAAAGTCTATGCTCAAATTTTCTCTGAGTGTCCTCTAGGACAAATTTCTATCTGAATCTTTCTTTTCTCGGTTCTTCCAGCAGTGTCCGTAGGATGTACCTCTTCTATGTTCTGGGCTGTGGTGGAACCGACTCTACTCGGTCAAGGTCACTTTCTGCATTCTGATGAAGTGTCTCTGGGAATTGGCTGCCCTGTAACGAACATAACTTCTCAGGGGTATGAGTTTAATTACCTTGTCACCGAGTGTGGGATTCAGAAAGAGGTAAGAGCTGTGACTGTTTCGAAGAATAACCTAACCCCCAGATCTTACCTCGCAGTGGTGCTATGCTTAGAGTCAGTGCAAGACAGGGGCAGCCAAGGCCAAAGATGAGGAACCTGCTCATTTTTATGACACTAGAGTTTGGTACTTTTAGGGTAGAAAGACCAGTGGGACCCAGGAACTGGCCTTGCAGAGCTCATGGCCCATTGAGGGAATCTAATTTATATGTTATTTCCTGCAGGGGGTAGGCCTGAGCCTGGGTTCCAGGGGGTTGGCCTAGAGACTGAGGCAGGCTGGGAGCCATTCTGGAGGCTGAGTCCCTGGGGGCTGGCGTGGCACTGGTGAGGGCCTGGTACTGGGGTCCACTGTGAAGTCCTGTGTTTGCTCTCTTTTCTCCAATGGGAGGATGTCTCCTCCATGCTGGGTGGCCTGGACTTTGGAGAGCAGTAGTGGGGTAATGTGAAACTGTCTTTCCTACTCTTTTCAATGTGTCTTCTCATTTCTGTGCTCCACCCAAGGGCTATAATCCCTATCTGGAATCCTTAGCTCTAATGAAGGTATTTGCATGTGTGGATAGTTCATACTGATGTTTCTGTGGGTAGACAGTGTTGGGGACTCCTACACTGCATCTGCTGATGTCACTCTCCTATTTTATTCTTTTGTGATGCTATTATAAATGGAATTGTTTTCTTAATTTTATTTCCAGATTGTTCATTGTTAGTGTAGAGAAATCAATTGGTTTTTGTCTATGTATCTTATATCCCGCAACATTTATGAAGATGTTTATTAGTTCTAATAGATTTTTTGGTGTATTTCTTGTGATTGTACCAGGCCCACCATTTTTATTGAACACTTGCTCCTCAGATTGTTACAAGCCTTTGGTTATTTTCCAGAGTTTTGAAAAAATTTAATTGACAGTTTTTGCCAGTTTTCTTTGTTTGAGAAGTGGGTTTTTGGTGACCTTGACTCTATCATACTGGAAGTGACTATGGAATATATTTCTATTAATAACAGAAGTAAGGTGCATATAGTATCTATTTTCCACACTTCGTATACAACTTATAGACTCTTGACTAAAACAACATTGAATAGCAACACAGTGCACAAATAACCATGTTATAACCATGTTATTGGATGTTATATTTCTATTAACAGTCATTGGAAATAGTTTACTTACATGAGAATATTTATTGTATAAATTAACAGATTGAAAAATGGTAATCCAGTATGCTATTTTTGTAAGAATGAGTAATAGAAAAATATACACCTAAATGTGTTTACAGAAGTTATCCCTGTGTTAGGATTATGGAGATTTTTATTTTGCCACAACATAGAATTTTCATATGTCTCCACAACATGCATATATTCAGAAGACACAAACCTCTAATTATGGTTTTAAATTAAAAGTGCCTCTCTGTCTAATCTTTCCAGAGACCTGGGACCCAGCACTGTGGTAACGTTTGAAGGCAAAATCTTAGAATAAATTTATTAAGTAGAAGTTGTAGCCTTTGTTTCTAACCTGGCAATTCATGATTCCAATTTCATGATTTCAGTTGCCACAAATGCCAACTGGTTGCACTGATGATCAAGACCCTGACTTGGTATTTTCTTATTGGTCTCTGTGAAAACAGTCTCTTCAGGATCCATGCGGAGAGACTTTAGTATGATCTTACATCTTGATCTGTTTCTAGTTCAAATTTCTTTAAAACTCCTGTGTGAGATGCTATACTTCAATTCAAAAGGTCTTTTTGTCCCATTAGGTTTTCTCCTATGGAGTGATATTTTATTCAGCCCTCCATTATAACATAATAAACAAAGGAGTCACTGGAAAAATTCCTTTAACGTGTATTGTTTCCAGGTGAGTATAATGGGTCAGCTGGTTCACAGTTTACTTTCTAAGAACTACTTGTTAAAAGTAAAACATTTGGAAAGTGAAGCTCAGCTTGGTTTGAGTCTTGGAATGATGTCGCTTTGTGTGATTCCTCAGTCCAATGAAATACTTATCCATGTCATTCGGTCATTGCAGATGCTCTGCCCGGATCCTCTTGGACCACCCCTACCATTTCTGTGTGCCTCTTTCCTTGCTTCTCTGGACTTTGGCTTTTAATGACCCCAACTGGGCCTGGGAGTTTACAAAATTCCCCCAATCCTCACATCGAGTGGTGTGGGAATGTGAACACCTGGCTCTGTTGCCCGATCTAAGGACAAACTGTGAGGCAGGATTTAACTTTGGGGCTCTCTTGCAGGTTCTACTGAGGCTAGAACTTTGCTTGAAATAGCACTCTTTTGTCATCTCTGTCTTCCTCTTATGCATGCTCCATTCCCTTACTGGTAACACTTCTATAATAAATCACCTGCCTATAACTCTCCTTGTCAGGTTCTGCCTTTGGGGAACCCTACTAAGACATACTAAAATGGATTAATAAAGCTCAGAGGTTGATGTGCTCATGATCAGGTAGTTAAGAAACGGTAAGTCAAGACTTGAACACACCTTCTCACATAGCTGCCTCTCTGAAGATCAGGAGATGCTTGGAAAAACAGGAATTGGAGAGAAAGCATTGAGTATCTACTCTTTAAGATCAAACATTTTTTGAAAATTAAATTCTGACCTAAGTTGTATAATTCTTTATTCTATACAAGACCTAATGTTTTCTAATTTTTGTGACTTACATAAATCCTGTACGCTTGCGTGGGCATAATTTGATTGAAAAAACAGTTTAAAAAAAGAAAAAAGAAATGAGGGTGCTTGTTTAATACAGATACCCTGACCCTATGGCTTTTGGGAAAACTACCTAAACTTTTTTGTACCTTAAGGATCAGTAAAATAACACTTTTGTGTTGTTAGTGACATGGAGTCAATTCTAACTCCTGGAGACGCTGTGTACAGCAAGAGGGAACCCTGCCTGGTCTTTTGTACCATCTTCTCACCTTCCAGCGCTATATCAGATAATGCCCTGCTGCTGTTCATAAGATTTTCAAGGTCAATTTTTTTGAAAATGGTGGCCAGTTCCTTCTTCCTAGTAGTTTATGAATGGAAAATGTAAAAGATTCTAGGACTCCTACTTTATGCTTGTCTCTGGGAACTTCTTCATAAGGCCATCAGAGCTAACTCTATCTTGGGGAATAGATTCCCCAATGGTAGAATGTTGAGAGGGGAAGGGGGGAACCATTAATAGTGTTATTCCTGAAAAAAAAATTAAGTAGTGGGAAGAGTGGAAGTGGTGGTAATACTGCTCCTGTTAAAGTCAGGTGGACAGCAACGGGTGAAGCCAAAACAAGACTGAATGGGTTATTTTAAAATTTAACCTGATATGCACATTTTCTCTTCTTTAAAACTTTTAGCTCGCCATTTTTAGATGACACTCCAGGCACTACCAACAGCAATCTCACAAAGTCCCAGGATGGTCTTCCCTCTGACAATTCTTGTCCTTCCTGGACCTTAAGCAACACTTGCCTGTTTGGATTGCCTTGGATCCCATACTTCCAAGACTCCTCGGTGAGGATCCTTAGAAGAGACAGAACATGATGATGTGGATATAAGGAAGGCTAAAGCTTAAGTCTCTGCTAATAAGTTTGTTTGTTTGTTTGTTTGTTTCTGGTTTAAGTAATGTCTAGCTATGTGATGAGTCTTACACTAATTACAATTGTGTTTGGAAAAAAAATGCGACTTCCGCATATCTATGTATGTTCTGGTCTTATTGACAAGTCTTCCTCACCACAATCATCATGTCAGAGTAACTAAGTCTCCAGTTGGGTTTAAACATAATCTGGGTTGATAATCAAATCATTCACTTTAATTATCGGTCACTTAGATAAAAGTTGCCAAGTGTCTAGATCTGCTCAACATCTTCCTCCAATCCCTGGCACTTAGATGCTCAAAATTCATTGGTCAAAGTGTTAATCAATGTGTTTTCTGTGCCACGTTTGTCAGTAGCTGCACTGCAGCTGTTTGCTAACGATCTGTCTTTTTCTTCTGCAGACGAAGCCATCCTACCAGTCACTTCTACCTAAAATGCCTCATTCTTTAGTCCATGAGAGTGCAAACGTGGCTACATTCTAGGTGTTCTAGGTGATTCTGTGATAATCTTGACAACTCGGTTGCTGAAGCATTCTTAAATTTAATTTTTAAACCAATCGCTATAGATTTTGGAACTTTCCTGTGCCACCTCCTGAGACGCCACCTAGAAGTTAGGGTTGAGACAGTGCCTAATGTGTCGTGTTTTTAGGAAGTGTTTCTTTTAAGCGATGTGGCAATATAGCCCTTGCACATTCTCTTATGATAAGACATTTGTATATAATTTTTATGTGGAGATAATTTTACAAATAAAATCTGCTGTGTCTTTGTGGCTATACTTCTTGATGTCTGAGGAATAACCTCAGAATAGGGCCTAAGCTGAGAGGTTGGTGTGGAAGTATCGTTGTCACCCACCCCACTGTTAGTAGCTGTTCAAGAAACCGCTTACAGAGGTACTGCTGGTTACGCCTGGTAATGCGTTGGAATTCTTTTAGTTTAACTTCTTATGGTGAGTGGAGATGAGGTTGGAAAAAAGAGTTGATAAAGGACTTTCAGAAAGTTAAGCGAGTGATTCACGCCTGCCACTTAATTAAGCACACCTTCACGCCAGGAACCTTGCTCAATATTAGCTACTGTATTAGTCTCTTTTAAAACCAATCTTGGACTTGGAATCCTTGTCTCAGAGCCTGATTCTGTTCAGATTACATGCCACTCACTAGCTTTGTGAATCGGCAGATTATTTAACTCCTCCATGTATCACTTGATCATCTGTAAGATGGGAATAAAATATCTACCTCCTAGGACTGTTTTAGTGACTAAATGAGTTAATTTATAAAAAACTTTTAGAACAACACTTTATTTATTTATTTATTTTGAGGAAGATTAGCCCTGAGCTAACTACTGCCAATCCTCCTCTCTTTTCTGAGGAAGACTGGCCCTGAGCTAACATCCATGCCCATCTTCCTCTACTTTATACTTGGGGAGCCTACTACACCACAGCTTTTGCCAAGTGGTGCCGTGTCCACACCTGGGATCTGAACCAGTGAACCCTGGGCTGCTGCGAAGCGTAACGTGTGAATTTAACTGCTGCGCCACTGGGCCAGCCCCTAGAACAACATGTTTAAATGTTAACTTTTATGTAGCAGATACAAAGAATAAGCCATAGTTCTGTCTGTCAATTTAATATTGGAGATGAGTTGCAGAATGCTATATCCAGTATGACATCATTTGTAAAGTCTTAAAAATATGCAGTGTGCCAAATTTTCAAAACTAATGCTGGCTACATGTATGTATTTAGTAAAAGCATAAAACCACACAAGGGGATGGTGGTTACTCTTTCAGGCGAAGGAAGAAGGAGAATTGAATTAAGTAAGGACACGTGGAAGAGGGGGTGGGTCTCCACTGTGATATTTTGGGTCTAAAATACATCTGAAACAAATATATACAATGTTAAAATATGTTAAAGCTGAGTGGTGGGCATATGAATGTGATACCCTATAATCTACCAGTTGTTTGAAATATTCTTTTCTTCTAAATTATGCCTTGGATATAGAGCCTGAGTAACATTGATTTGTATTAGTCTACACCTTTACAAAGTGTTCTTTACCAAGTTCATCTTCTGAATAAGAGAACAAAGCCGAAGAAGTCAAATTGCTGTGTTCTCTTTGCTAGCTGGAGGCAAGCCAGAACTGAATGGTACTTTTTATACTCTAATCTCCCACAGACGTTATTGTATTGGCAGATGCAGGCAGTACTGTTCTATTGTTTAGCAGTTTTCTGAATTGTGCACGTCATATTTTAAATTCGGTAGAAACACAGTGATCCCTTACTGTTGGTAGCTCCTGATTTAAGAAAAACTTAGTAGCCATGGTGGAAATGAACACCATTGGGTCAACAAGGAGACAGAGAGGAAAGCTGACTATATTGCAGGCCTATAGCTTTTGGGGGCGGCTGTTGTAGAACATTTCTGTACCTTTCTCCAAGATCAAGTGGATGAGGTTAGTCTTTGTTCTTGCATTCTAGGAACGAAACCTTGAGAGATCCCTTAGGACCACCCTTCTTTGTATCAGTTACTACTCCATGGTCAGTAACAGCAAAATTCTTTAACATGCTCATGGGGATCTTCTTGAGAGCTTTGTAATAGAACCTTTTAGGGGCCAAGTCTTGTCTATGTGATCCTGTCCCCTATTTAATACTAGGAAAACTTAGTGAATAGAGAGTCTGGATGTGTGTCATTTGAAAGTGACTGACAGTGCCTGCTGCTGTCAGAATCTGAAAGGGAGACTGGAAAAACCTAATTTGTGGACTCTCAGCTCCAATAATGCAGGGCAGAGAAAGGCAGGTGTGGATCTGAGGCAACATGTAGAACAGACGTTTGAGCTTCCTGGGCCAGCAGAGCTGCTACTGTCTATTTTAGTAATGGGTTCTGGCAAGGATTTCTATATTAGGGCTAAAGTTGTTATTCTTTGCTTAATCTTTCTCCTTCCTTCCCTCCCTCTCTGCCTTCCCCACCTTCTCTCCTTTCTAGCATTCATTTCAAATGAATCCTTGTTACTTTCATAGAAAATATTTCTTCTTGCCATTTTCATCATCCTTTAAATATCAACATTATATTCAGACTCTCTCTACTCCCACCAAAACAACAACAACAAAAAAACCCCCACTAGTTCCAGAATGGAAACCAGGGGCTAAGAAATTCAGAAAATAGTGAACTAATCAGTAGTTTTTATTTCAGCAATGGAGATATGCCAGGATTTTGCATTAATTAGGGCTAAAGGTAGTTGTAATTTGTGTATGCTCTGTCTTTCATATCTAGCATTCATTTGGAGTGAATCCATTACTTTCATACAAAAAATATTTCTTCTTCCAATTCCATCATCTTTTAAAGGTCAAAAGCCCACTAACACCAGAATGGGAACCAGCGGCAGACAGTGGTGACCCTGATTCAGTGTCCCAAAGCCAGGACGCTTTTCTTTCTTGAAAGGATCCAAACTACTAAAGAGAGCAAAAGCATTCCCTTGAAATTTTTTCCCCCAAATGATCCTATCTGTTGGGAAGTTATCTCTAACTTATACGTTTGCTTACATAGCTTTTATTTTTTGGAAGATAAGATTATAAAAGGACACAACTTTAAGAAATGAGCAGGTTAGGTAGGTAACATAAGTAAGTGAATAGGGACTGATGGAATGAGCTTGCTTGGAGAGCCTAAACCATTTTTTGAGGGTGTAGTCCATACTTAGCCAAAACCCAAATGTTGTAGATCTTCGGAGTTTCAAAACAATGCAGAAGTCCTCAAGTTTAATATGATGTTTCCTGCTTTTTTAACAATGGCTACTAGTTAAAACATTTCAAAAAGCAGTAGAATCCAGACTAAGTCAAGTTAATCTCAATGAGTCACCAAGAGTTGATCTTTGATAATGGAATGAATGGAGAAAAATGTCTGGCATATGGTGGTTGCTCAATACATGTTACTTCTCTTTTTCACAGTAGTTCTATACTTTGCTGACTGCAGCACAGCCATTTGAGTTGCTAGCCCCTGTACTTACTTTCCCCTACACTCAACTCCACACTGAGAATGTTGGCTTCATTGTCTACCAGGAAGGTTCCCTTTCTCTAAGAAGCTCTATGAGTCTATGACCTTGCTTAAAAGAACATACAACAGCATATCCTTTGCCAACCATTCATGCTGTATCTTCCCATTTTTAGGACACTTTATTCTTTTAAGAGATTGGCATGTGTGGAAACGGAATTTAGTTTGCTTACTTCCCCTGACCCATTGCTCAAGGTACACATATAAGTAGCTCCAGATACTCCAATGGGGTCCACCTTTGGAAACTTCCAGAAGATTGGGAGCCCCCCGCATCATTCTGACTTGAAGCTTGCTCATATAGGGCATAGCATCATTTTCAATGAGTAGGAAAAAAAAAATCATGGGACAGGCTCCAGAGTCATTTAAGTATCAAATTCCTCCCATCACTGGGTGATAGTTTAGTCACAAGAAGCCATCAGCTTATGATATTGAGATAACGCCTGCCATAGATTTAAAAGGATGGGGCAGAATAATTTTTTGTGGTGATAGGCTTATATCTGGGAATGTCAAAAGAACTGGCTTTAGATAAAAAATAGTAAGAGAAATCAATAAATTGTCCTATTAAAAATTATAAAAATTACTAAAATTAATATACTTAATATACACACATTTTGTCTTAGTCTATTAAGGCTGCTATAACAAAATACTGTAGACTGGGGTGGCTTCTAAACAACAGAAGTTACACAGTTCTGGAGGCTGAGAAGTCCAAGATCAAGGCATAGGCAGATTTGGTGTTTGGTGAGGGCCCAATTCTTGGTTCATATATTGCCCAGACATATTTTTGCTATGTCCTTACATAGCAGAAGGGGCAAGGAAGTTTTCTTGAGCCTCTTTTATAAGGGCACTAATCCCATGTCCTTAGGGATCTGCCCTCATGACCTAATCACCTCCCGAAGACCTCACTTCCAAATACCATCATATTGAGGATGAGGTTTCAACACAGGAATTTTAGGGGACACAAGCATTCAATCTGTGATACATACTAAAAATAAATTACACTGTATGCATGGCATTTACTGTATATAGTATGCTACATAAATAATTATAGACATAAATACATGTGGTTATGATGAGTTTGGTAAAGTTTTGGTCACAATAGCAAGCAACTATAAATTTAGAAAACAAATATAAAAAATATGCAGCACATTTTAACAGTGAATCTTAAAAATCTGTGGAATATAACAAGTCTTGACTAAAGAAGGATGACACATTGCTACTGGATAAGAAACTATGTAAATAAGCAAATTTTCCTTTAATAAATCTGAAAATTTCATGCAATTCCAAATAAAATATCAATAGAACTTTTGGAGGGACAGCTTACAAAATGATTATAAATTTGATCCAAAAAATAAACACAGTGGAAGTTCCAGGAAATTTTTAGAAAGTAAAAGAGAGAGGAGATTTTTCTAGAAGATATTAAATAACTTGTAAAACTAGAGGACTCCCACACTTTGACCACAATGTAGGAAGACACACTCAAAGAGGTAAAAAGAGAGAAGTCAGCAGTAGACCAAGTATGTAACTAAATGGTGTATAATTAATGGTCAATTATCAGTAGGATGCAGAGGGATTATTTAACAAATGATATTAATATAATTGGGTTGGCATTTAGAAAAATTTAGATCCCACTTCACTTATTTTTTTAAAAGTTTCCAAATGGATCAAAGATTAAAGTGTCAAGAATTGTCATACATATATTAGAAGAAAATATTGGTGAGTACTTTTAGAATCTTGGGTTGAATAAGCATTATAAAACACTAGAGACTATAAAGGAAAAGACTAATAAATTAGAGTGCATAAAAATCGCTGCTGTACTGGAAAAACATAAATTGAATTAAAATGATAATGAAAAAATATAAAGATAATTTGCAACTTACTTGGTTATGGTTAATTAGCCTGAAAATGGATTAGAAAATAATATAGACAGAAAATTGAGCAAAGGACTTGAACAGGCAATTCCAGTAGAGGTATAAATGGCTAACAGCTTATGAAAGAATATTTCCCTTGATCAATAATAACACAAATGCAAGACCAAAGCTAACAGTTTGGGCCTTTTGTATTGTGAGGTCAAAAGTTTTATAATACCTGTTGTTCAGGGTCTAAGAAAACAGATAACATCACTCACCCTAAGGCAAGTAGTAAATTATACCATCTTTGACAATGTGCATTTAAAAATAGGTGTGCATATCCTTTGCTCCAAAAGCTCCTCATCTTGGATCTTGAGCTACAGAAGTGCTTGAATATGTGTGCAACAATAT